CCCCATTTCTTTTTCTGCTTTATCTCATCAAATTGGGGTGTTAATTGTACAAGAAAACCTGTCTTTTCCATCAAGGTATCTTGATACACTTTGCACCTGTATTATATTACCAAATAGAAACTCAATCATCAGTGCAAAATATGAATTAAGTTACATGTACATGTGTACGATTGCTGCATGGTGCTAGGCTCATCAAGACACTCGCAAGCATTTTCAATCAATAAGAATTCTGTTCGGGTACCTGCAGTTCTTCTCCCTTCGGCAGCTCTTAAGTGCACAGTGGAATGGACAATTTCGTCACCCTTTGCCGCATTTTTCCTCGGGGAGAAGGGGTTGTATTTGAAGGAGAAAAAAGTACATTTTTTCTTCTATTTGTGTCAAGCGTAAAGCCGAAAATGATGTACAAATCCAATGGTGTAATGATTGGTTTTCACCTTCCCATGTGCCCCGAAGATATAGGTACTCATGCCCCTGTTTGTTGGTGGAACTACGTTTGTTCACACATATAGCGGATTTGGGGATAAAAGGAACTGTTTACTCCTAGGTTAGCATGCTCGAGTGAAGTGTACAAAACCATAAACTTGTATTAAAGGGAAACAGTGGGAATAGTTTAATTCAAAACTATTCTGGCAATAAAGAGAAATGTGTAAAGCTACGGTCACAAAGGGTTCGTACGAACGATGCGTTCGTGCGAATCTCCCTGTTTTACATTGTCTTCCCAAATTTCCATTGTCTGAAAATCGTTCGTAATGCGTTCGTAGCAGTTCGTAATGGCATTTGTGACCAAGGCTTAAGGTATACTAGGTAGTATTGTTTTTAAAGCACATTGTAGTAGTATTTTTTAAAGATGCATGTAAAGCTTTACATGTCTTACATGTATGAGGCAGCAATGAAAATGTACACCTGTTAGATTTCTTCACCCGTGTGGAGAGTGGCAAATGTAGATTGATGGAGGGCATCAATGTTGAGAAATCAGATGTTCTTATAATTCTTTTGATTAGAGTTGGTCTTTAGGTATTCTGGAAAACATGGTTGTCAAAAATTCTGTACGTCCAAACATTTTTGGTAAAGTGTTCTATGAAAAAAAAATCACATACCTGTAGACACAAGGGGAAAGGTTAATTGTAGTAAAGAGCTTGTACATGTAGTTGTAAGCATCTCTCACAAGCTTAGGGTGATTAAAGATAAACTTGAGTTCTGGTAAAAAAAAAAAAAAAAAAAAATTCTCACAGAATCAAACGAAACTTACACTGAATGTTCAAGATTACAAATAAATGTCATACGTGCCAAACAAATGTTCAAGATTACAAATAAATGTCATACGTGCCAAACAAATGTTCAAGATTACAAATAAATGTCATACGTGCCAAACAATTTTGGAAGAAAATGTATACTGGCTGAGTAATGAGCATAGAAAGATAAGAAAATCAGGTAGTACTAGCCCTGACACCACTTGTGTAGTCCCATATACATCTTTCTGTGTTCAGTGCTTGTTACATGTACTTTACCAAGACTGGGCCAAAATTATCATGAGTTTGATGACTCCATAACCTTGCAGTGCACACCAATACTTACATGCTACATGATCAATTTTTTCTGATCCATTCCACACCTTTTCTTTTACAATGCTATCGCATTACCAGAACTCACCTCTTTATCTTTAAAGATGAAAAAAAAATGAAATAGTCATGAGCTTCAATGGTTGTTAACCAAGGTTGAAGAGGGCATGGTTCCCAAATCAGACGTACGTCATTAGGAGAATTTCACTGGAGCTAAAGTGCCTCGCGGAGGATTCCCAGAAGAAATAAATTCAGAAGTTATGGCCCCGACGTTGCTCTGTGTGACAATCAAGGAAAGAGTCTTATTCATGATGTCCTTTTTGAGGGGTTCATAACTGAAGGGACCTCCGATGACTCTAAAGTTCTATCGAGAAAGCATATTCACATCCATTTATACAAAACCTATGCTGTTCTCCACTCCCCCCCCCCCCTTTTTTTTACATATATTGTAGTCCACACATGAGTTATTTACTAAAATCTGATTGTGAGCAGTATTTCTGTTTTGACTTTATACTTATTCCAACTTATACATGATTTGAAGGAGAGAAAAAATTGTTGAAGGGCAGCTGTGATTTGATCACTTAGTTCTTGTCAAAACTTTTATTGTATTCTATATTACTTGATGAATGATGATACATGATGATGATAATTCGACTTTAATATAGAATGATATTTTGTATTGAAAAGTTTTTCATTATTAATTTTAACCTAAAGATAGAGGTGTTTCCTTCATATATTTCAAGCTATTGATACTGACCCATTTGCAGTGCCTGTACAAGTTCTTGAATCTATCACAAATATTCTGCATGATTTGTATGAATCAATGATGCTTATATCTCCACGTATGTATGCCTTACCCCAAATATACCGGTACATTATAAATGAAGGCTGACATGCATTCTCCATGCACAGAAATCAGGGACATCTTTCTTCATGAAACACTCCATTTGACAAACATGGTTGCCTGGCAACGGACCATTGGCGTTTCAGACCGAGTGTTTCGGCGATACCGTGTAATGAAATTTAATGACGAGGGTCTCTTCTCCTTGATCATACGCTCTTGATATTAATCTAATATTTGTCTCTGGAAATAATGGAGCAACTTTCCCCCTTAAAATGGTAGATTGTCAAGAGTTTTGAGTATAAAAAAGGCAGAAGGAAAGAGAATTGGAAATTGGAATAGAACTGGTACTTTGGCATTGAGCGAGGCAATGCCTGAGGTATATGTTAGCAAGTATTGACAATACTGATAGAGTGACTGGCCATCCATTTGTTACTGAATTATTTGCAAAGTACATGCGTGCAATAGGCCATTTTTGTAATGTAACCAAATTTAATGCATAAGTCTTTGTGAAGTGCCTCAATACAAATTATTTCATTCACCTGATAAGAATAATAGGATTTCAATAGTCAGAATGCAAACTGCATATATTAAGTGTTGCTAGGTAGGTCAAGCCATAATGTTTGCCCTACCTGGCAACAACTAATGTATCATCATCTTTCAACAATCCTCTTGTGGAAGTTGTTCCCTGAATTAAAACAATGAGAGTGTCATTTAAGTTCATTCCTGGGCTACTAGTGCAGACAACTACAACTTTAATAGCAAACATGTTCTTGTGGGATTTGTTTGATAGATTCTCACTTTCCCTGGAAGTCTCTGTCTGTCTGTCTCTCTCTCTCTCTCTCTCTCTTTCTCTTTTCAAGTATCCTGAGTTAAGTGTTGCATTCTCAAGTTCATCTTGCGAGAATATTTAAACTTTGTTTTGCACCTACTGATTATGTACATATTTTTGGATTAAGTGCCATGAGCGCCCACCGTGGCATCATCATATATTATTATCTTCATTTTAATGAAAATGAAACGTGAAAGCAATCTAGAGTATAATGGAGCTTCTATTAGATACACGATCGTATTTTATCGCATCAGGCATAGGCCGACGCCCACCTGTTTGATGAAACAATAGCTCAAGATCATAATCTGAGCTGACAGCACCGTCTATCATACAGTGCTGTCACTTGTAGTCATACATGTACGTCGTTGCGGCTTCATAAATGGAGCAGAGTGGATCATGGACTGTCGGTCGTTAGTGCCCGAACGTGGCGGTCATAATCTTTGAAGGGTTATCCCGCCACCACTCATTAAATCAGCACTAGTCATTAATGAGGTAGTTAACATTTTAACAGCTTTAGATTTTGGCTTTTAACATGCAGAGTGTGTTAAAGCATCTGAATTTAAATTTATTTTTTTTCTTCATAGATTCTTAATTGTAGCATTTAATTTGCTTTTTTTTTCTCTTCTTTGTCACATGAGCCATTCATAGCCTACCAGTGCTCTGTAATCTTTTTTTAATGTAGAATATAATATTGATTATGCATTGTAATTACGTCGTAAATGACAACCGTGAAAATTGGCCTCAACTATGGTCATCACTCATGCGTGCAGTCAAGGTGTCTGTGGTATTACACACAGTGTGTTATTATTGGTTACTGGTGAAAGCATTTATACAGGTGTAGTTTGGTAGCAATTATGACAGTGCAGTGCGTAATATAATGTGTATGGCAGTTGTATGCATTAATCATTTGTTCATTTGGACTTGACCCTTTTAATGAATAGCAGTAAATTGTGCATAATGAGGTAACTGTGTTGTCCCTCATTTCAATATTGCTTGCTTTCGTCCAGCTAATCTCGTTCTCTCTGGAATTTTAGTGTCTATTTTTGAAGACATCTGCTGATAAAAACAAATATTTATACCTGTTTATTTATAACAGTTTTAATTTGTGTATTGTTTATTTCATTTTCTGTATTTACATGTACAGAGTAACCGTTTAGCCTTTTCTTTATGTGGAGATTTTTTCTTCAAAAACAATTTGCCTACATTCAAATCCTTTATCAAATGCATACTAAAGTAAGATATCTAGATTTTACCCGACTGATTCTCCCACGGATCAGAAATGATTTTAAAAAATTATGGTTTCTGTACTGAAGATCTCCTTCTTATATACATGTAGCATGAATTCATTTTTTTGTCCTAGTCGGTTTTTGTCGTTTTCATTTTGGTATTGTTGATACTAAGTTCATATCAGAAGCAGATAGTGCACATGCAACCATGAAATTTCCTCTGTCCAGTTTCCAGCTGATTTTAAATTGTTACTTTTTTGATATTTTCTTAATTAAATACACAAAAATGCAGGAAAATGCAAAATATTGAGATTTAAAAAAAGCAGTAATCAATCCATGGTATCATCATAAAGGGGTATTAAAGGTGGCATGCAGTATTTTTTTTTTTTTTTTTTTTTTTGCAGGGCGGGGGGGGGGGGGGGGGGGGGGGGGGGGAGGCTTGGAGGGATTTGCCCCTGTGTGTGTTACTTGTAATATTTGCTGTATTAGAATTGTGTTTGATTCATATGACAATCTTCCTTAACTAGCCGATCTTCTCACAGAAACTGGATGAATCTCAGAGATGCAGATTCAGGCAAAATCATGTGGCAAGGTCATGATGATTTGTAAGTAATTCTTCATTTATTTGCTTTATAACTGTTTCCTCATAGTTCTAAAAACCTTTGATTTGTACATAATCCTTTAATAGCCCTTCATAACTGTATTCTTATCCCCTACAGTGTACATGTACATGTATTTTCTATTGCTCACCCCCTCTCTCTCTCTCTCTCTCTCTCTCTCTCTCTCTCTTTCTCCCTCTCTCTTCCCCCCCCCCCCCCCCTCCTCCCTCTCTCTCTCTCTCTCTCTCTCTTTCTCTCTCTCTCTCTCTCTCTTTCTCCCCCTCTCTCTTAATCTCCCCCTCTCTCTTTTTCTCCCCCTCTCTTTTTTCTCCCCCTCTCTTTTCCTTTTTAGCCTTTATATTATTTGTATGCATTTATCTTTTTTACATAAATACCTGTGCAGTATGTGTATACTTTTTATTCTATGAAATTATGAATTCTGCTTTTTTTTTAAATCAGTTTATTCTAAAACTGAACCAAAAAAGTGCTATTTCTTATTCTACTCGTATTCAATGCAGATGTACAATTAAAGATAATCTGAAAGTTTGAGTGAAAACAGACCACTATTAATGATGAAAATTGGGAAAAACTGATCTAATCGATTCCTTAATTGTCCCAACTATATTATTACAGTTTAATTACATTTTAGGTGAATGTAAATCGTCACAAAGCAATGAATTGGCTCTACATGTATATACCATTCCAAACATTTAAGTGTTGAAAGAATTTTATAAACTTGTTTTATGTCTTATATTCATGGAAAAACGGTTAGGAAATTTCAAAAATGGTGACGCATTCAAAGTACAGAAGAAGGAATATAATAAGTAACAATTTGTACAAAAATTACAGTTTTTTTTATCAACCATCAAAAATGTTACCAGGTCACTTTAAAAGCAGATGTATTCATATTTTGAACCTTGATCATACTCGCCAGGATTCTCTCTTGTAAGAGCACTCAAGTATGAGTGGAGGCACTCTTGTCCGGACTGGGATGTTGGGCAAAATGTCCCTACTTGAGTACCGTACTAGTATTCATCTGGGTTGCTTTCTTGCTCTTAAAGAGAAGGTTGAGTTCTGGGAAGAGGTGAAAAGTAATTTGTGAGTGTTATCATTCTTATTATGCAAGTGTGGAAGAACATCAGATAAGACATGTTCCCTGAAAAGCATGGCTCTTTAAAGGCCTTTATATTCCAAATATGTCATGTAACATTGTAAAACTCGGGGGTAGGATTTTTATGCCATGTGTTCGTGTAGTCCCATATACATCTTTCTGTGTACAGTGTTTGTAACTTTACCAAGACTTGGCCAAATTTCTTATCATTTTGATGATTCCAGAACCTTGTAATACACACAAATTCTTATATGCTAGATGATCAACCTTTTCTGGTCGATTCCACACCATTTCTTTCACAATGCAATCGCATGACCAGAACTCAACTTCATCTTTAAAGGGATTAGGTAACTTTGTCTGAGATTCTGAAACAAAATCCTGGATTTAGCTCATGCTGCAATGAAAATGATATACCTTTAGGTCTGTCAGGAAGCCCATGACTTTTACAAACCGATCACCTGTCTGATTATCAAGATATTTGTGAATTGAAATCGAAATTTAAAAATTTGTTTTCCTAACGGTTTTTTATAACACTACAGTCTATTGGGGAAAACAAGTATGGTAAATTCGGTCACTCAACGATCGATCTTTACTTTTTTGAGGCACTTCATGATCATTTTGAAGCCCTTTTTTTTTTAGGGCTTCAATATTACACCATATCACAGGCACTGATAACACGTACACTGTGGGGCCACGCATTTCAGAATTAGCATTGTTAAACGATCCCTTTAAAGGTTGATAGTGGCTTGCCTGTCACTACTGGTACATCTAACAAGATCCCTTTTATTTGAGAGAGTTTGAATGCTGTCTTGATTTAAAAGACATGGGGTGTGTTTCACAAAGAATAAGATCGACTTGGATTTAACTATGGCAGGCTGTTCATGCCATTGTTTGCTCTCACCATTATCATCTTAGATAATCATAGTTACTATTTTTCTTATAATAATGAATTATCAAAAAATGTAAATTCTATAGATTCATGACCATGATTTGTACCTCCCTTGAGAGACAAATGCCAGTAAATGGTGTGAGCAAACAGTGACATGAACGGCCTGCCAAAGTTAAGTCCATTTTTAAGGCGATTTTAGTCTTTGTGAAACACTCCCCTTGTCTTTAATAATAATGATAATGTTCCGGGCCTATAGGGCTATATACATACTTCACAGATATACTTGTATTATGACCCTAGTCATTGGATTCAGGCGTGCATGCACGTATGGACATTCTCCACTCCCTGAGGAGCATTCCAGTCCAGGTGCCATTTTACAGACGCTCAAAATGCTTAGCAAACTACAATGGCCTTTGCATCCTACCGGGTACCAATTGAATACCTAAGTGGAGAGTGGCAAATATGGATAAATATCTGGCCAGGGGACATACGTATAATGTCAGCCTGGGAATCGAACCCTCGACCCATGAATTGAGCGTCACGTAAATGAACCACCATACCGTGACACCTCAATAAATTTCTTTCTTTTTTGGAATTCTTTTTCTTTTTCAGATCGGCCCCGGATGGTGAGCATGAAGCCAGGGTGCCCAAGAAGATCCTCAAATGCAAAGCCATCTCACGTGAAGTCAACTTCTCTTCCTTGGAGCCCATGCATCAATTCCGTCTTGAACAGAGGGTACTATTCAAAGGACGCTGCTTAGAAGGTTTGTCCCAGATTCTCAATTATCCATGTTTTATAATTATTTACTTAGATATAATAATTTACCAAATATATCAATTAGTAGGCCGTTTCCGGGCAAAATTTATATCATCACGTATTGGTCAAAACATATTCTTTCACATGATTGGTAATAAGAGCTTCCATTTTATTTTTTGAGAGGGGGGGGGGGGTTTCCAAAACTGGTCTTTACCTTTAATGTCCCCGTCCATCTTTCATGAAAGCAAGTTATTGCGAGTGCCTCTTTGAGGCCATAACTCACTTATACAACTCGGCTAAGTGGGGAGCCCTGCTTAAGGCAATTTCAATAGCCTTGTCTATAATCTGTTGAATTGTGCAAACCTGACAATGACCAATCAAGTAACCTGAGCATTATTTCCATTGGATATATACAAGATGGTACTGGAATCGCCCTTGAGTTGATTACTCGATAGTCTTCGCAATTGGCAAAGGTATGTCGCAACATTTTTGAGAGTTCATGGTACAGGTTTTAATCCTGGTATTATTGTCCGTTGGTTGTACTGATAAAATTCAGTTTTCCTTGATGTAACAACCATATTTTTAAGTTCAAGAAGACTTTTTTTTCCTTCAGATTGTTCAGAGTCCAGATATTTATTTATTTTATTTATTAATCTATTTCACTAGATAAAAAAGATTGAACATACACATCATTCACTGAAATCAAACAAAACAAAACAAGGCATTTACAATGCATACATTAGGTAAATACAGAGTAGGGGGGGGGGGGATAAGATAGAGAACAGGTCGAGTGAGGAGCGGTGAAAATCTTAGCAGAAAAAAGAAGAAGGAGAAGGGGAGTAAAGAAGAAAAGAGGGAAAATATGATTTGAGATGAGTCGTTGTGCTTTTCTAGAAAATTATATGAAAATTGTAAAAGGACGAGAGTGTGTGAAGGGCCATAGAAAAGGCAGGTGAAATTAGAAAGGAATAAAGAAAAAAGCAAACGATGCATGAATAACCCCATTACAATACTTCAATCGTTGGTATTTTAGAGGGCATGTGTTTTAACAGTAATTCTTTATACCTGCATTTAAAAGTGTTAAATGATGAATAGTTGTTGAGGGTAGAAGGAAGAGCCATGTTCTTTATTCCTGCTAATAAAGTTCTACAGAATTTGATGTTGGCTGCAAATGGGACATAGTACCTTTACCTCCCAATAACAATCGAGCTTTAATACACACCACAAGTAAACAAACCATGTTATAAAGATAACCATCGTTTCTCATTTTAATTTTGGGATAAAAATAGTCGTAGACACTTGCTCATTGCATCAACGTCTGTTGTCATACTCGGAGGGTTATTACCAAAGCACTCTTGCATGTGCTCGCAGCTACATGTATGCAGCATGCAACATTATACACCCTCGCTCTTATACCGTCGCTCTACGGTATACACACGTGGGTAAATCATCTATTTGAAGCCAAAAGGTCTTAACTCATAATATACTTTAACCCAGAGCTAATGCCCTTCTGGCGCTTAAAGATAAACTTGAGTTCTGGTAAAAAAAGAAAATTAATTCTCACAGAATCTAACGAAACTTACACTGAATGTTCAAGATTACAAATAAATGTCATGTGCCAAACGAATTTGGAAGAAAATGTATACTGGCTGAGTAATGAGCATAGAAAGATAAGGAAACCAAGGTAGTACTAGCCCCGACACCATGCATGTTGTCCCATATACATCTTTCTGTGTAAGTGATTGTTACTTTACCAAGACTCTGCCAAATTTATGATGATTTTGATGACTCCAGAACCTTGCATTACACACCATTACTTACATGCTATATGATCAACTTTTCTGATCCATTCCACACCTTTTTTTCACAATGCAATTGCATTACCAGAAATCAAGTTTATCTTTAACAGACAAAATAATCTCAGGTTTTTAGGCACCTTTTTCACCTAAAGATTAGGACTTTGATATTTTGATAGCTGTAGAGGTAGATTTGTTTTTTTTCATCTTGCCCCATTTGCTACTGCTTTCTCCATTTTTTTTGCATAATGTCCCTCTTTCATTGAGAAATATTCTGGTGACCCATTAAGCTTGTCACATTTTTCTCTGACATATCAACGACAGGTCCTTGCTCTGTACTCTTACATATACATGTACGTATATCTGGATTTAATTTTATTGAAAATCACTTGACAAAAATTACCGTAAATCTCCGCGTATAAGGCGCACCTTTTTTTTCCGTCTGCAAAAATCAAAAGTCGGGGGTGCGCCTTATACACAGGTACAGGATATTTTGAGTCCTCAAAATGCTACTTTTTAGTGGTTTTCAAAAATCTCTGTCTCAACACGAATCACATAATGCGAATAAAGAATAGGATTTATTATTTGAAGTTAAACTACGTTCCTAATTTGAAGGGAAGAGAATTTATCATATATTCTAAAAGAAAAAGTCATCATGGTGTGTAATTGTTAGTAAACTTTAATAAACATTTCAAGGTTATGCGGTCATTTTCAAAATTAACCCAATTTCAATTAGCAGTAGTCCGAGTCCCTGACAATTTTTGTAAGCTGTGTAAGAGCAAAGTAGATCGAGGTCTCCCAGGCATAAGAAGTGCCTGTAATGCAGTAATCTTTAAAAATGCTCTATTTTGTGAATGTTCTCGCGACTTCCCCTAAAGGTAGGTTAAACGTGAAAGCAAATCAGATTAACCGAGTTAAGTCTATTTGCATGTGAGATGCATTAATTCAAACCTCATCCACATGTACATGTACTATGGAATAGCTTGCCAATAGAAATACGAAGCACTCCATCTCTCAATGTCTTCAAATCCAAATTGAAAAACATAATTGTTCAATTGAGAAATCCTATTTTGTAGAATTTAGTATTTAAAAAAAAGGAGCTCTTATCCAGCACAGCTGAATATATTTTGTATAAAAGCTGCGCTATATAAATTTATTATTATTATTATTATTATTACAGTACATGTATTTGCGATAAACCGCATGAAAAAAACATTCACAGTGGCAAAATAGAACGTTGTAAACATAGAGCTCTAATTCACATTTTTGTGTCATATCTATAACGCAGAGATAAAGTGAGATGGCTTTATAGGAATCTTTATTTTGCAGAGCTACTTTGTTTCTAACCTATGCCTGCCGTACGTACAGTATACATATAAAATGGTCATTATTTTTCCATGCAGGTTTTATTAGGCAGTTAACTATGCTGTGTGTAAATCAGTCTTGTATGAAAACAAATGCACATTTTTACCTGTAGACGGTTTCACACATTAATATTTTTTGTTCTTAAACTTCTTAGGGGTCATTACTAGTCATTACATACATGTATGATCTGTATCTAGGCCAGGATTATATTTTTCAAAATCTTAAATGACATCAATTTGTAACTGGAGTGTCGTGAAGTTTCACGTCTTTATCATATCATCCATCATAAGTTATGTTGATACAATGTGATGTTTCATTTGAAATGAATAGGATCAATCAAAAAATGAAATTCAAAAAAAAAATTGTTACTGGAAAATGTCAAAATTTGCTTCAAAGAACCTCCAAAAGTATTAATTTTTAAAACAAAGAATAGACAAAAATAAAAATAATGTAGTATTGAAAAGAGTAAGTTGTCTTTAGACCATAGTGCAAACTCACTTGGAGAAAAAAATGCTTTAATTACCAAATACTATTAATTCTTCAAGAGACATTTCACCCGATTTTTGCTTGGTTTATACATGTATACTTGATGTTCCAAACTGAGATAATGGCATAGCCATAGAAATCATATCTTGAATGTATTGTTCATTCGACTTCACTACTACAATGCCATGCACCAATCAACGATATTGTGCCTTTTGTGTATACTGTACATGAAACAGCGCTTGTTTTGTTATCATTACAGGGAATACTCAGTGCTTTAGAAAGAAGAACAAATATTCTGGTACAAGAATTGTTAGCATTGCAAGCTTGAAATTTTCATATGGAAAGGATCAAAAGAATTTCCAGGATATTTCTGCCCCTGATATAGTACATGATGTATGAAATACGTGCATCTTTGAGATGCAATCCCTTTTAACGAGACAAATATGCTCTAAACATTAGGTAATATAGGGCGCGTTCAAGCGATTTTTCAAAGCTACATGTAGAAACACAAACATGAATGACAAATCAAAACGCCATTAAAAACCTGGTTACTGCGGGAGAGCGTTCAAGCGATTTTTCATCAACGTTGATTCTCGCTCATTTCAAGCCCAGCCACTGCTCATCACACTATGCAGTTTGACCCAGGAAGTATAGGTCGACTTCGCCGTGTGCTTTTTAAACCTGTTTACGGTCGACTGTCGGCCAAACCAGAAGCAGGCCACGATGATGACGTTATAGAATCATGATTGAGATCTCCGTTCTTTCAAGCGTTTTTAGCGATACAAAGCTCATCTTTTTCAGCGTTTCATGTTTGCGTTTTTGAAAAAAGTTTATTTTTACAACCAACAAAAATCGCTTGAAACCGTGTTTTAAACTAAACGTCTTTAAAACTCATGTTTCAAGGGTGAAAAAGTATCGCTTGAATGCACCCATAGTCTATCTTCTGGATTACCAGCGCTCCAGATATAACAGTGGATAGGTCCATAGTGGGTTAACCTGCTACGGTATGTTCAATTAATATCTTTGTCCCTATTAAAAGGGAGATGGATGGTAACTTGACAGCAGAATGGGAACACACCTTAAGGCTCGTTTACATTGGCCTCGGTAACCTGTGGCGGGTTTCTTGTGCACTACATGAATGGCAAGTGGGGATGGGAAAAAATACTGTGAAAGTAGAAATATTTGCGGTACATCAATTTTCGCGGATTTCGCGCCAAGATCGGCAAGCGCGAATGTTAGAACTCTTGAAAATATAAGCATGACTCCTTGTGCGTGTTTTGAACGGGCTGAATTGTGTGCAACGTGAATTTAAGAACCAGCGAATATATTTTTTGCAGCGGTTTACTAACAATCCTTTTGA